TTCAATTTAGTACTGTGATGAAGAAAGCTTCCTTCAACATTTGTGTACATGTCTTTGTGGATGGATACGACTGGGCGCAGTGGCTCACACTTGTAATCCCAGCATCCTTTGGGAGGCCGAGGCAAGCGTATCACTGGAGGTCACGAGTTCAAGATCAGACTGGTCAACATGGTGAAACCCTGTCTCTACTGAAAAAATACAAAATTTAGCTGGGTGTGATGGTGCATGCCTATAATCCCAGCTACTCAAGAGGCTGAGGCAGGGAGAATTGCTTGAACAGGGGAGGCAGAGGTTGCAGTGAGCTGATTGAGCCATTGCACTCCAGCCTAAGTGACAGAACAAGACTGTGTCTCAAAAAAAAAAGTCTTTGAGGGACCGGGCATGGTGACTCAAGCCTGTAATCCCAGCACTTTGGAAGGCCGAGGCAGGTGGATCATGAGGTCAACAGATCGAGACCATCCTGGTCAACATGATGAAACCCCGTCTCTACTAAAAATACAAAAAATTAGCTGGGCATAGTGGAGGGTGCCTGTAATCCCAGCTACTCGGGAGGCTGAGGCAGGAGAATTGCCTGAACCCAGGAGGCAAAGGTTGCAGTGAGCCGAGATCGCGCCATTGCACTCCAGCCTGGGTAACAAGAGCAAAAGTCCGTCTCAAAAAAAAAAAAAAAAGTCTTTGTGGACACATATTTTTATTTGTCTTGTGTACATATCTAGCAGGGGAATTGTTGGATCTTGTGGTAAGTGTATGTTAACTTTATAAGAAATTGTGGCGGGGTACAGTGGCTCATACCTCTAATCCCAGCACTTTGGGAGGCTGAAGTGGGTATATTGTTTGATCTCAGGAGTTTGAGACTAGCCTGGACAACATAGTGAGATCTGGTCACTATTAAAGATATTTTAAATTTAAAAAAAATTAGACAGGCTTGGGGGTGTGCACCTGTGGTCCCAGCTACTTGAGGGGCAGAGGTGGGAGGGTGTTGAGCCCAGGAAGTCAAGGCTGTACAGATCCATGATCATGCCACTGCACTCTAGCCTGGGCAACAGAGGGAGACCCTGTCTCAAAAAAAAAAAAAAAAAGAAAAGAAAAAAAGAAATTGCCAAACTATTTTTCAAAGTGATTGTGACATTGTATGCACCCACCAGGAATTTATGAGGGCTCCGATTGCTCTACATCTTTGTGTACTCTTGGTATTATCCATCTTTTTTCTTTTCTTTTTTGGAAGCAGGCTCCGTTTTTGGAAAAAAAAAGTTAACTTAATTTGTTTTTTCTTTGAGACAGAGTCTTGCCCTGTCACCCAGGCTGGAGTGGAGTGGCATGATCTCAGGTCACTGCAACCTCCTCCTCCTGGGTTCAAGTGACTCTCCTGCCTCAGCCTCCTAAGTAGCTGTGATTACAGGTGTGCGACCATCATACCTGGCTAATTTTTGTTTTTTCTTAGTATAGACAGGGTTTACTATGTTGGCCAGGTTGGTTTCAAACTCCCAACCTCGTGATCCACCTACTTTGACCTTCCAAAGTGCTGGAATTACATGGGTGAGCCACTGCTCCTGGCCTTCAATTTAATTTAATGTTAGGTTGTAGGATTCAGGTGCAGGATGTGCAGGTTTGTTACATAGATAAACGTATGCCATGGTGGTTTGCTGCACCTATCGACCCATCACCTAGGCATTAAGCCCCGCATCCATTAGCTATTTATCCTGATGCTCTCCCTCCCCCCCCACCCCACCGACAGGCCTCAGTGAGTGTTGTTCCTCTCCCTGTGTCCATGTGTTCTCATTGTTCAGCTCCCGCTTGTGAGAACATGTGGTTTGGTTTAGTGGTCCTGTGTTAGTTTGAGGCAGGCTCTTGCTCTATCACTCAGGCTTGAGTGCAGTGGTGTGACCATAGTTCATGGCAGCCTCAACCCTCCAGGCTCAAGTGATCCTCCTGCCTCAGCCTCCCAAGTAGCTGAGGCCACAAGCATATACCACCAAGCCTGGCTAATTTTTTGTAGAGATGGAATCTCCCTATGTTTCCCAGGCTGGTCTTGAATTCCTGGACTCAGGTGATCCTCCTGCCTTGGCCTCCCAAAATGCTGGGATTACAGGCATGAGCCACCGAGTCTGGCCTCTTTTTTATTTTAATCATTCTACTGGGAGTGTTGTAAAGTCTCATTGTGGGTTTCATTTGCATTTCCTTGATAATTAATGATGTTTAATGTGCCTATTTGTCATTCCTGTATCTTCTTTGGTGAAATGACTGTTCAAATACTTTGTCCATTAAAAACAACTGGGTTGGGTGGGTGCAGTGGCTCACACCTGTAATCCCAACACTTTGGGAGGGAGGCTGAGGCGCGAGGATCACTGCAGGGCAGGAATTTTCAACCAGCCTAGCCAACATGGTGAAACCTCATCGCTACTAAAAATACAAAAATTAACAGGATGTGGTGGCACACACCTGTAATTCCAGCTACTTGGGAGGCTGAGACAGGAGAATCACTTGAACCCAGGAAGCAGAGGTTGCAATGAGCCAAGATCACACAACTGTACTCTAGCCTGGGAGACAGTGTGAGATTCTGTCTCAACAAAACAAAACAATTGGATTATTTGTATTCTTCTTATTGAATTGTAAGTGTTCTTTATATATTCTGAATACAAATTCTTTGTCTGACATATGCCTTGTAAATATTTTTTTTGAGACGAAGTCTTGGTCTGTCTTCCAGGATGGAGTGCAATGGCAAGATCTCAGCTCACTGCCACCGCCACCTCCTGGGTTCAAGCAATTCTCCCTGGCTCAGTTTCTCAAGTGGCTCGGATTACAAGTGTGCACCATCACATCCTGTTAATTTTTGTATTTTTAGTAGAGACAGGGTTTCACCATGTTGGCCAATCTGGTCTTGAACTCCTGACCTCAGGTGATCTGCCTGCTTCTGCCTCTCAAAGCATTGGGATTACAGGCATGAGCCACTGTACCCAGCCTGACTTCCCTGATTTTTGTAAAACAGGGTCTCTGTTCTCCACGCTGGAGTACAGTGATACAATCATAGCTCACCGCAGCCTCCAACCCCTGGGCTCAAGCAAATCCTCCCATGTCAACCTCCCTAGTAGCTAGGATCATAGGTGCGTGCCACTGTGCCTGGCCTCTTTTCATTTTCTAAAAGTGTGAAGAGCAGAAGATTCAACTTTCAACTGAGTTAGGCTTATTGTTTCTTTTATGGCGAACGCTTTTGGGGTCCTAAGAAACCACTGCCTACCCCAAAGTCAGAAAAAAATTCTTTTATGTTTTGTTTTAGAATTTTATCATTTTAGCTTTTATTTTTAGCTCTGTGATCCTTTTCTAGTTTATTTTTGTGTGTATTATGAGGTAGGGGTCAAGGTATATTTTTTTGCCGTGACTATATAGCTGTTCTAGTATCATTTGTTGAAAAGATATCCTTTCCTCTTTAAACTACCCTGGCACGTTTGTAAAAAATCAATTGACAAAACACGTGTGGATCTATTTCTGGACTCCGTTCTGCTTTATTGATCTGTGTGTCCACCCTTATGCCAATACCATACTTGACTTGATTACTGTAGCTGTACAGTAGGTCTTGAAGTCAGGTGATATGAATCCAACTTTGCTCTTCTTGTCAAGATAGCTTTGGATATCCAAGGCCCTTGAGTTTCCACATAAATGTTAGAATTAGCTTGTCAATTTCTGTGAAAATTACTGGGTAATTATGATTGGGATTGCACTGAATGCATAGATCAATTTTAGGAGAATTAACATTTTAACAATATTGAGTCTTCCTATTTTATGGGTAATTTTAGGTGTCAGCTTGACTAGTTTAAGGGTACCTAGAAACCTGGTAAAGCGGTATGTTTGGGTGTGTCTGTGAGGGTGTTTCTGCGTGAGCCATTGCACCTGACCAACACTTCTAATATTAGATATTGAAATACATGTAAGCTATGCATACATACATTTAAAAAAGATTAGGGCTGGGAGCAGTAGATCATGCCTGTAATCCTAGCATTTTGGGAGGCCAGGGAGGATCACTTGAGGCCAGAAGTTCAAGACCCTCCTGAACAAGAATCCATCTCTACAAAAAAATTACAACTTAGCTGGTCACAGTCATGCATACCTGTAGTTCTAGCTATTCAGGAAGCTGAGGCAGCAGGATGGCTGAAGGCCAAGAATTAAAGGCTTCAGTGAGCAATGACACACCACGGCACTGCACTCCGGCCTGGGTGACAGAGTAAGATCCTGTCTCTAAAAATAAAAATAATAGGCCGGGCGCGGTGGCTCACACCTATAATCCCAGCACTTTGGGAGGCCGAGGCGGGTGGATCACGAGGTCAAGAGATCGAAACCATCCTGGTCAACAAGATGAAACCCCATCTCTACTAAAAATACAAAAATTAGCTGGGCATGGGGGTGTGTGCCTGTAGTCCCAGCTACTCGGGAGGCTGAGGCAGGAGAATTGCTTGAACTCAGAAGGTGAAGGTTGCGGTGAGCCGAGATCATGCCACTGCACTCCAGTCCGGGTAACAACAGCGAAACTCCGTCTCAAAAAAAAAAAAAAAATAGTAATAATAATAATGTTTGTAGGGCTGGGAGCAGTGGCTCACACCTGTAATCCCAGCACTTTGGGAGGCTGAGGCGGGCAGATCACTTGAGATTAAGAGTTTGAAACCAGCCTGGCCAACATGGTGAAACCCCATCTCCGTCAGAAATACAAAATTAGCCAGGCATGGTGGTGCGCGCCTGTAATCCCAGCTACTCGAGTAGCTGAGGCAGGAGAATTGTGTGAACCTGGGAGGTGGAGGTTTCAGTAACCCGAGATTGTGCCACTGTACTCCAGAATGGGCAACAGCGTGAGGCTTGGTCTCAAAATAATAATGATGATGATGCATGTAAGAATAAAAAATAGGGACATCGATCCAAGATGGCTAACCGCTAACAGCTCGGGATTGTAGCTCCCAGTGAAAGCCCAGAGAACGAGACGACGCCACACTTTTGGATGAATTTTCGTCACTCACCGATCAGCCGATTCCCAGTGGAGGAGCCCCACGGGTCGCCAGCGCGACTCTTGTGGCCGCCGCAGCGGTTTTGCCGGCGTCGGTGCAGCAGCTCTTCCTGCAGAGCCAACGGGACCGCTTCCCCTACTGACCGGAGTTTGGAGCTCCGGGAAGTCAGAGCCGCTTGTTGCGGACTCAAGAGGGAAGCCAGACCAGAGATTCCCGGGCAGAAGAGCACCATCAGTCTTATCGCTGCTATTTAGGCTGCCACAATGGGTTGCTTGGATCCCACCATTGGGAATCAATAAGTCGGACTTCCACTCAGAAACCTAATTAGAAAGGCGGTTCATCTACAATGAAGGGAAAAAAACAGCCTAAGAAGGCCGAGTATACTCAAAATCAGAACCCATCAGCAACGGAACAAGCCCTGATGGAAAAGGACTCATCAGCAACCGAACAAGCCCTGATGGAAAAGGACTCATCAGTAAGGGAACAAGCCCTGATGGAAAAGGACTGTGTTCCATTATCTGAAGTAGGCTTTAAAAGGTGGATGATAAGAAACTTCTGGGAGTTAAAGGAACTTGTTCTAACCCAATGTAAAGAAACTAAGAACTTGGAAAAAAGGTTCGATGAAATGTTGAAAAGAATAGACAATATAGAGAGGAATACAAATGAACTTATGGAGTTGAAAAATACAACACGAGAACTTAGTGAAATATGTACAAGCTTAAACAGCCGAATGGATCAAGCAGAAGAAAGGATATCAGAGGTTGAAGATCAACTTAATGAAACAAAACAACAAGACAAGAATAGAGAAAAAAGGATAAAAAGGAATGAGCAAAGTCTCCAAGCAATATGGGATTATGTGAAAAGAACTAATATACGCTTGATTGGTGTACCTGAATGTGACGGAGAGAATGAATTCAAGCTGGAAAATACTCTCCAGGACATTATCCAGGAAAATTTTCCTAATTTAGCAAAGCAGGACACTATTCAACCCCAGGCAATACAGAGAACACCACAAAGATATTCCTCAAGAAGACCAACCCCAAGGCACATAATCGTTAGATTCACCAAGATCGAAACGAAGGAGAAAATATTAAGGGCAGCCAGAGAGAAAGATCAAGTTACCCATAAAGGTAAGCCTGTTAGGCTTACAGCAGATCTCTCAACGGAAACCCTACAAGCTAGAAGAGAGTGGGGGCCAATATTCAATATACTTAATCAACAGAACTTTCAGCCCAGGATTTCATATCCTGCCAATTTAAGCTTTACATTTGAAGGAAAAATAAAATTTTTTAGGAACAAGCAAGTACTCAGAGATTTTATTACCACCAGGCCTGCTTTACAAGAACTTCTAAAAGAAGCACTATACACAGAAAGGAACAACCAGTATGACCCTTTCTAAAAATACACCAAAAAGTAAAGAGCATTAACATAAAGAAGAATTTTTATCAACAAAAGGACAAAATAGCCAGTTAATATCAAATGGCAGCAACCCTAAATTTAAATCGACCAAATCTCCCAATCAAAAGATACAGACAAAATCTAACGGTATATCCAAAGATATACATAGACTCAAAATAAAGGGTTGGAAAAAAAAAACCAACCAAATGGAGAGCAAAACTAAATAAATAAAAAGCAGGAGTTGCAATTTTCACATTTGACAAAATAGATTTCAAAGCTACAAGGATACAAGGGTAAAAGGATTAATGTAATAATAAGAGATCTTAACACCCAGATACATAAGACCCATAATGAGATTTAGATTCAACGAGACAGAAAATTGATAACGATATCCAGGACTGGAACTAAGATCCAGAACAAATAAACTCAATAGAGCTCTCCATTTTTAAACACACAAAATATACATTATCCATAAAATCTAACGATATATCTAAAGATATACAAAGACTCAAAACAAGGGGATGGAAAAAAACTCACTAACCAAATGGAGAGCAAAAATAAATAAATAAAAAGCAGGAGTTGCAATTCTCACACTTATAAAATAGATTTCAAAGCTACAAGGATGCAAGGGTAAAAGGATTAATGCAACAATAAGAGATCTTAACACCCAGATACATAAGACACATAATGAGATTTAGATTCAACGAGACAACAAATTGATAACGATATCCAGGACTTGAACTCAGAGCCAGAACAAATAAACACAATAGAGGTCTCCATTTTAAACATATAAAATATGCATTAACCACTTTAAACACTCAAAATATTGATCGGCCATTATTGAAACCCATTTTAGGAATGAAGTAATATTCCTTTTTCCCTCTTTTTCTTTTTTTCCCCTTCTTCTTCTCTTTTTCCCTAAAAAAAAAAAAAAAAAAAATTCATAGTTGAAACACAAGTGAAAGATTAATAAAACTGTGTTATATAATAACAAATGAAGGATTAGCACCAGAATGTATAAAAATTCCTATCATTTACTGAGAAAGAAACAGAAATTTCAGTAGTCAGTTCACATAAAAAATAAAATAAAATAAAATAAAGAATAAAAAATAGGAAGATATTTAAAAATTAGATATCTTATAAAACATTTAAAAGTATATAAAACGATTAATAAAAACAGGTAAGGCCGGGCGCGGTGGCTCAAGCCTGTAATCCCAGCACTTTGGGAGGCCGAGGCGGGTGGATCATGAGAGATTGAGACCATCCTGGTCAACATGGTGAAACCCCGTCTCTACTAAAAATACAAAAAAATTAGCTGGGCATGGTGGCGCGTGCCTGTAATCCCAGCTACTCAGGAGGCTGAGGCAGGAGAATTGCCTGAACCCAGGAGGCGGAGGTTGCGGTGAGCCGAGATCGCGCCATTGCACTCCAGCCTGGGTAACAAGAGCGAAACTCCGTCTCAAAAAAAAAAAAAAAAAAAAAAAACAGGTAAGGTAATTATTTACCCAATATCCGGTGAATCAGTGAGTGACGGCAGCCATAGCGGTGATGGGTTGAATCAAGGAATAAGTGAAAAGCGGAAATTCTAGGGAGCATCTCCAACCACCACACTGTTAAAAAACAAACAATAACAAATTTTTCAGGCTTGCTTCATTTACTGTCATGCATTATGATAATTTTCATAGACTGGATGAATTTTTATTTTGTAACAATTTATATTCATTCATTCATTTTCCAACCTGCTTATTCCAGTTCAGGGCTGCAGGTGGCTGGATCCTGTCCCAGCAGCTCAGAGGATCAGGTGGGAACCAGCGGTGGACAGGTTCCATTCCCCCACAGGGCCCACGCACACACACCACACTCACACAGACTGGGGTCATTTAGACACGCTGATTAACCTCATGTGTACATATGTGGAACGTGGGAGGAAACTGGAGTACCTGGAAAAACCCATGAAAACATGGAGGGATTGTGCAAACTCCACGCCAACAATAACAGACGGATTTCTTTTCCTCATCAATGTTATAAAGAAGCCACATTGGGTTGGGCATGGTGGCTTATGCCTGTAATCCCAGCACTTTGGGAGGCCAAGGTGGGTGGGTCGCCCGAGGTCAGGAGTTCAAGACCAGCCTGGCCAGCATGGTGAAACCCCATCTCTACTAAAAATGCAAAAAATTAGCTGGGCATGGTGGCGGGTGCCTGTAATCCCAGCTACTCAGGAGGCTGAGGCAGGAGAATTGCCTGAACCCAGGAGGCGGAGGTTGCAGTGAGCCGAGATCGCGCCATTGCACTCCAGCCTGGGTAACAAGAGCAAAACTCCATCTCAAAAAAAATAAAATAAATAAAAATACAAATATTAGCTGGGTGTGGTGGCGCACGCCTGCAGTCCTAGCTACTGGGAAGGCTGAGACAGGAGAATCCCTTGAACCTGGGAGGCGGAGGTTGCAGTGAGCAGAGATCTTGCCATTGACCTCCAGCCTCGGCGACAGACTGAGACTCCATCTCAAAAAAAAAAAAAAAGAAAGAAAAGAAAAAGAACACACATTGGTATTCTATTGGTTCTGTCTCTCTAGAGAACCCTAATACATCATCCATGAACATGGCCTCTTTATTCTTTTAGATCTTTAATTTCTCTCAGTAACGTTTAGTAGTTTGCAGTGTAAATGTCTTACACATCTTTTATTAAATGTATCATTATTTCGTGGTTGTTGGTACTAATAGCAACTTCTCGTTTCATTTTCCAGTTGTTACTAATATAGAGAAAATCGGTTGATTTTTGCATATTGACCTTGTATTCTGCAGCCTTGCTCAGTTCGCTTATTGGTTCTACTAGTTTTGTTTATTGTTTTCATTAATTGCTTAGGGTTTTCTATATATGTGTCATATTAACTGTAAACAAGGATAGTTTGGGCCAGGCAGAGTGACTCAAACTTGTAATCCCAGCACTCTAAGAGGCCGAGGTGGGCAGATCACGTGAAGTCAGGAGTTTGAGACCAGCCTGGCCAACATGGAGAAGTCCTGCCTCTACTAAAAATACAAAAATTAGCCAAATATGGTGGTGGGTGCCTGTAGTCCCAGCTACTCAACAGGCTAAGGCAGGTGAATCACTTGAACTCAGGAGGCAGAGCTTGCAGTGAGCCGAGATCGCATCTTTGCACTCCGGTCTGGGGGATAGAGTGAGACTCTGTCTCAAAAAAAAGAAAAGATAATTTTGGCCAGGAGCAGTGGCTCATACCTGAAATCCCAGCAGTTTGGAAGGCCAAAGTGGGAGGATTGCTTGAGTCCAGAAGTTTGAGACCAGCGTGGGCAACATAGTGAAACCCCATCTCTATTTAAGAAAAAAAAGGTTTTTTTTAAATTAAAAAGAAAGACATTTCTCCCTTTATTAGAGGTATGCCCCACATTTCTAGTTTACTTGATATATTATTTGTTTGTGTATTGCTGGGTTCTAGTTGAAGAATTTTTTTTTTTTTTTTTTTGAGACAGAGTTTAGCTCTTACTGCCCAGGCTGGAGTGCAATGGCACAATCTCGGCTCACTGCAACCTCTGCCTCCTGGGTTGAAGCTATTCTCCTGCCTCAGCCTCCTGAGTAGCTGGGATTACAAGTGCCTGCTACCATGCTCAGCTAACTTTTTGTATTTTTAATAGAGAAGGGGTTCACTATGTTGGCTAGGCTGGTCTCGAACTCCTGAGCTCAGGCGATCCACTGGCCGTGACCTCCCAAAGTGCTGGGATTACAGGCATGAGCCACCGTGCCAGGCCTATTTGCAGAAATTTTGTTAAGGCTTTTATGTCTACATTCAAGAGGAGCCTTAGTCCCCAGTTTTCCTTTCTTATAATTTTTTTTTTTTTTTTGAGACAGAGTCTTATTCTGTTGCCCAGGCTGGAAGTGCAATGGCAAGATATCAGCTCACTGCAACCTCCGCCTCCCAAGTTCAAGCAATTCTCCTGCATCAACCTCCCACATAGTTGGGACTGCAGGTGTGCACCACCACACCTGGCTCATTGTTGCATTTTTTAGTGGAGATGTTATTTCACCATGTTGGCCAGGCTGGTCTCGAACTCCTGATCTTATGTGATCCACCCACCTCAGCCTCCCAAAGCATTGGGATTACAGGAGTGAGCCACCGCACCTGGTCTCCTTATAATATTTTTGGTTGTGGACCGGGCACAGTGGCTCACTCCTATAATCCTAGCACTTTGGGAGGCCAAGGTGGGTGGATCACAAGGTCAAGAGATCGAGACCATCCTGGTCAACAAGGTGAAACCCCGTCTCTACTAAAAATACGAAAATTAGCTGGGCATGGTGGTGCATGCCTGTAGTCCCAGCTACTCGGGAAGCTGAGGCAGGAGAATTGCTTGAACCCAGGAGGCGGAGGCTGTGGTGAGCCAAGATCATGCCATTGTGTGGGAATCGCTCCTGCAAGGGACCCTTGACAGGACCCTCGCCAACTGGAGCTTGAGCCCGTACACGTTTCTCCTTTCCTGGGGGCTGTTGAGCTAAGGGGAAAAGAGGAAGTCTGGTTGCACTTATTCTGTAAACACCTATTTTTGCCTCTGACATTTGCAACAGGATGGTTGAACTCAGGCCTTGTGGTCTAACAAGACATTGTGTGGTTTTATCAGACAATGTGTGCCTCCTAGTTCCTACTCTGCACAATAACTTTATGACTTTAGTTACTTCTGCTAACTCACTCATATTGTTGGCATGTGATCCTATAAGAATAGACAAAGGTTATCTCTATTTAGAATGGCATTTGGAAAGTTCCAGCTGTACCTTGTTAACGATCTTGCTTGCTTGACTGATTTTAGATAAACACATGCTTAAGTTTATGACCCCCTTTTGTAAACTTTATTGTCCCTTTGCTGTACACCCTTTGATTATGAGTCATACTTTCTGTACCCCTTTTCTTGTGATTCTTATTCTTGATTTTAAGATACAATGGAATGTATGTCACTCCTCAAGCACTGAAAGGTATATAACCTGTAGTGTGCACAAACAAACTCGCTGTTCTGGCATTGCCTGACAGTCCTCCAGACCCCACTGTCTATCTGTCTTTTCTTCCACGCACTCCCTCTTCCAGGTTGAGAACATTTGAGTGGGGCTGAGGCTCTCCGCTGGCCGGAAGCCCCCTGGCAGATGTGCCGGTCCCCCACACCATTGCACTCCAGCCTGGGTAACAACAGCAAAACTCCGTCTCAAAAAAAAAAAAAAAAAAAGAATATATATATATATATATATATATATATATATATATACATATATATATACATTCTTTTATATATATATACATTCTTTTTTATTGGTTGTGGCATCAGGGTAATACTGGGCTCATAAAAATGAATTGGGAAATGTTCCTTCTTTCTCTGTTTTCTGAAATAATTAATGTATGATTAGGACTATTTTACTTTTCAGTATTTGATAGAATTTTGCCAGTTTAAAGAAATTACTGCTTCAAGTCCTTAATCCATAGAAGGCTATTAAGATTTTCTATTTCTTCTTGGGCCAGTTCTGGTAATATGTGTGTTTCAAGTAATTTGTCCATTTTATCTAAGTTGCCAAATTTATTCCATAAAGTTGTTAATAACACTCCTTTTAAGTCCTTTTCATCCTTTCCATGTCTGTGGAATCTGAAGTGATATGTCCCCCACCCTTCATTCCTGATATTGGTAATTTTTGTCTTTCCTCTTGATCAATCTAGCTAGAGGTTCATCGATTTTATTGATCTTCTCAAGGAAACAGCCTTTACTTTCATTGATTTTCTTTATCTTTGGTCTGTTTATTATTTCACTGATTTCCACTCTTATCTTTATTACTTTCTTCCTAGTATTGCTTTTTGAAAGTCATAGAAGGGCATGGGCTTCTATTCCCATCTCCAGTCATAAGTCACAGAAGGTCTGAGTTAAAAGGGATCTTAGACCCAATCTTGTCTGCCCCTTTCATTTCATAGGTGAACAGAAATTCAGAGGGGGAACTGGTTTTCCCCCAGCCACTTAGCTTTCTTCTAAGGTCAATTAATTCATTCATTTCTTCATTTATATATTCTTAGTCATTCATGTTAGATATATCTGTTGAGCTTATACTATGGACCAGAGGCTGTTCTAAGACCAAAGATGAATAAATCTCAGCCTTTGCTTTCAAAAATCTTCCAGCCTAATGAGGGAAGTAGCAAGTTCTCAGCCAATGCAGTGACAAGTGTCACAGCAAAGGTATTCTCAGAGTGCCATGAAAGCACCAAGAAAGTGATTCAAACTCTGAAGGATGATGTGAAGATGAGGATGGGGACAGGGGATGCTCAGGGAAGACTTCAAAGAAGACATTTAAAATAGGTCCACTAGGGCCAGGCATGGTGGTTCACACCTATAATCCCAGCACTTTGGGAGGCCGAGGCAGGCAGATCACCTGAGGCTGTAAGTTCAAGACCAGCCTGACCAACATGGAGAAACCCCGTCTCTCCTAAAAAAAAAATACAAAATTAGCCCAGCATGGTGGCGCATGCCTGTAATCCCAGTTACTCAGGAGGCTGAGGCAGGAGAATCGCTTGAACTCGGGAGGTGGAGGTTGTGGAGAGCTGAGATCATGCCATTGCACTCTGGCCTGGGAAATGAGAGTGAAACTCCACCTCAAAAAAAAAAAAA